AGCTCTTTTGAATTTATTTAGAGCAAGCAACTGAAGCACTCCATTATCTTTTCAGTATTCATTGGCAAAGGTACAAGGACCAAGCAACCACCCAGAGTATGAAGACATGCTGCAAAGATGCATCACAGACTTCAACAGCAAAATAATTGATCAGCAATATTGCAAATCAGTTTAAATGTTTTTCTCAACAAAAAAATTAGAATTGAAACTTTACTTTGTCAAAAACGAAAAAAATTGTTATTTACCAGTGAATTTACTGCATAAATATTTTTGTTATGCTTTTGGGATGAATAAAAATTCTTGAAACCAACTTTATTAGTTGCTTATCAACTATGTATTTAATGCGATTTTATGCTAATTTAAAAATGGATTTTCTTCCATAGATGATGTAATCAGATTTAGAGACTTTATATCCCAGTAGCCACCAATGATTGTACAATTATACTCCTAAAGGATTTTTTAGGTCATGACATCAAACAATATTTAATTTTTTACAGCAGTGACATATATACACACACACAAGATTTAGTAAACTGGGAGTAATGGAGCTTAACATCAAACAGCACCTTTTTACATTGATTTCTTGCAGTATTAAGAATGTATTGTTCTCAAGAGAGTTCTTGTGAAAAAGATGAAAAAAATGATTATGATTAGATAAAGCAGCTGCACATGAAGGTTTAAACCATGAAATAGAAAGAGGCTGGACTTGAAACAGACAAGAAGAAACAAAAGCTTCCATATCTGCCTGGATCTAGGAGTATATGTAAGAGGCACAGTTATAAGAAGAAAGACCAAAGACATCAGCCTAAAGACCATCAAGAAGAAATTCACAAAATAATTTTCAGGCAGGTAAATAGTAAGTAGTACAATGATATGGTGAGTCCAATGAAGAAGTGTGAGATAAAGATTGATATGGTGAGTCCAATGAAGTGTGAGATAAAGATTGATATGCTAAGTCCAACGAAGTAGTGTGAGATAAAGGTTGATATGATGAGCCCAACGAAGAAGTGTGAGGTTAAGATTTATAGAGATTATTTAATGGTTGGAACCATCTAAAGAGAACTGTTTGGAAAATGTGTAACAAAATTCAATATTGGAGTAAGAGATTGAGAAACACAGAAGTTATGGGTCAAGCCAAGCATTGAGACTATTGCAAATCAAATGATAGTAGCCATCAATACCAAGATTGAAAAAGAATACAATGAAGAAATAGCCTAATTCAAATTAGTCTTACAAAGAGCAAGTAAGTCTATAATTTTGCGAAAATATATATAACTTACTATTGAGCAAACATCGTGCCAGAGGTTCAGGCAGAACACTAACATACATTTAATACTTATTTCAAACCAGATTTTATAATTAAGAATAATAGTTATAATTAAATTTAGGGCACAGTACATTATATTGAACTTGAGATTGGTGAATTAAGGCAATGTTGTTTTGTTATTTAAAGTTAGACTGAAATGTTTATTAAGAGTTAATAATCTTTTGAATTGAAAATCTTAGTTTAAACCTCCGGCTCTTGGCTCTGATAAACCTCTGTTACACCTGTTGATGTGTTAGTATATTATACAAAAAAAAGTGCTTAATGTTCTTAAAAAACAGAGCATTAATAAATTAGTTAAAATATTCTTATCTAACTTCTTCAACTGGCAGTTTCTTCTTCAGCAGGATCGTCCGGATGCTGATGAAGGAGAAACTGCCAGTAGAATAGAACCTTATATATATATATATATATATATATATATATATATATATATATATATATATATATATATATATATATATATATATATATATATATATATATATATATATATATATATATATATATATAGACACACACACACACACACACACACACACACACACACACACACACACACACATACACACACACACACACACACACACACACACACACACACACACACACACACACACACATATATATATATATATATATATATATATATATATATATATATATATATATATATATATATATATATATATATATATATATATATATATATGTATATATATTTACAGGCTTGGCCAAGAAGGCATGCAATTTCAAGTCTTTATATGACCACGCAAATAATATTTTGCTATGATGATTCATAAATGGCTTTTAACAAATGCGCTAAAAAAATGGTTTTTTAATTACGTTGAAAAAAAAAATTTGACGCGTTTATCTTTACTAACGTTTTTATATTAGCATAATGCTTTTAAATGAAGATTTTAATTATCATTGAAAGCTGTATATTTCTTTAATTATATTATTTAATTATATAAGATTTATTATATTAATTGTATAAGTAAAAATAAAAAAAGTAAAAGTTTAAAAAATTTTTTTTTTATAAATTTAGACTTTAATAAGCGATTATCTCTAATGAACTTCATACAAGAATCATTGAAGCTTTTTTTGAGAAGGAATAAAAAAACTTTTTTTAAAGCCGTTTGAATTAATTAACTTCGATCTTTACTTACATTTTTATTTTATTGAATTTAAATAAAGCAACAAGTCACTGCTAATAATTTTTTATAAAATATTTATATATTTTTAAAAGTATTTGTTTTTTATTATAAATGTTTTTAAATTAAAAAAAATTAAATCAAAATTTTAAGTAAACAATTTAATTATTTTTTCTTTAGTGCGAAGAATTAAGAATCTTTTTTTAAACTTTTAAATGTGCGCGTTTAATAAACAATCATCAGTTGTTAGTTGTTACTTTATTTAAAAAGCAATTCGCATAATTCGTATAATCAAATTTAAAAAGCATTTGTAAAGATAAACGGTTTAAAGTTATTTATTGTAATTTAGATAATCTTATCATTATAGTTTATTATTTAATTTAGTTAAGTTTTAATTTTATTTCTGCTGTTTTAGTTAAGTTATTTTTCTTTTTTTTTTTTTCTTTTTTTTTTTACCAAGATTTATTTGCTTCTTTTACGATAAGTTTTTTTTAAAGTTTTTTTTATAGTTAAGATGATTTTTTTAACGCATTTTTAAAACATATACGAATTTTCCAAACATATTAACAGCCATGGTCAAGTTAAGTAAAATCAAATAGTATTTGCGTGGTTGTATTATGACGTGAAATCGCACGCCTTCCTGGCCAAGCCTATATATATATATATATATATATATATATATATATATATATATATATATATATATATATATATATATATATATATATATATATATATATACACACACACACACACACAAACACACACACACAGTGAGAACAGAATTTAAATGTACAAAAATTGTACATTTTTTTGCTTAGATATAGTCGTTTACTAGTTTTTTTTTAAATTCATAGATAGATAATAATTTGAAACATATAAGTTAATTGTTTATTGATAACTTAAAAGCTAAAGTTTTTGATATTTTTCACTTATCAAACATCAATTTTGTTATTATTTTTAATTTTGCTATATTATTTTCAGTAAATGCTTTTTTGAAATCAAAAAATTGGTTTTAAAATGCAAAAACTGTTGCAAATAATATAAGCACAATTTCTGTCAAGCAAGGTTGTTAATCAGAGTTGTTAAGCAAAATTTTACTTTTCTTTGAAAAAAAATTATCAAGAAAATAATAAATTTATTTAATTTTTATTATTTAATGTCAGTATCATTTTGGAAGTTTAATGGTCTGATAGATCTAACTTAAATTTAAAATATCTGATGACATGATGGTTGTACATGGTGCTAGTGTACTGGTCTGGGATTGTATGATGTTATTAAATGTTAGTTAATTAGAATTTATTGATAAAACTATGAAAATTACCTTGTATAGCAAAATATAAATCACTAATTTAAAAAAACTAAAGCTTTATTTGATAAAAGGAGGATGTTTTAGAATGGCCAGCACAGAGATCTGATTTGATTCCAGTAGAACATTTATGAGTTATATTACTTTGTTAATAGATCATTTAAGAAAAACAAAGATTTAAATAAAGCTCTTGTTAAATCATAATCCAACATTGAGAATAATTTGATCTGAAAAGTCAAGTGGAATGTCAATAAAATTTTTAAAAGTGATTAGAGTTAAAATAGGACACTTGGTAGATGATCAATAAAATAGTAGGATCAATATAATAGGACACTTGGTAGAAGATCAATAAAATAGTAGGATCAATATAATAGGACACTTGGTAGAAGATCAATAAAATAGTAGGATCAATATAATAGGACACTTGGTAGAAGATCAATAAAATAGTAGGATCAATATAATAGGACACTTGGTAGAAGATCAATAAAATAGTAGGATCAATATAATAGGACACTTGGTAGAAGATCAATAAAATAGTAGGATCAATATAATAGGACACTTGGTAGAAGATCAATAAAATAGTAGGATCAATATAATAGGACACTTGGTAGAAGATCAATAAAATAGTAGGATCAATATAATAGGACACTTGGTAGAAGATCAATAAAATAAGACATTTGGTTGATGTATTTTAAGCTAGAGACAACCATCATTAAAATAGTAAAATATATGAATGAAATTAAAAAAATAAAAACATTTTGTTTTTAAGTTTTTTTAATAAATTATTTTAACTTAGGTTTAACCTATTTTGTTTTTCTTGTACAATAATTTTATGCGCAAGTGTTTTTTTTAGACACATAGTTTAGCATTAAATAAATAATTAGGTAATTCAACAAAGAGCAAGAAAACTTTGAGTAAAAAAAATTTCTTTATAGTATTAAAATATTTTATTTTTAGGTGCAGATTTTATTGAAAAACGATACATATAAATTATGTTCTCACAAATCTAATTAAGCAAATGTATCATGTATAAATTGTATTTGTTTGTATTCATTATATTTTTTTGTATTCATTTTATTTGTTTGTATTCATTATATTTGTTTATATTTACTATATTTGTATGTATTCATTGTATTTGTATGTATTTATTATGTATGTATATCATTTGTTTGTTTTCATTTTATTTGGATGTATTCAGATATAATTTCTTTAGATTAAATCGCATTGAAAAAATTGCTGTACGCTTTCTTATAAAGATTAAAATAAAAGTGGCATTAAGAAAGTTTAAGGTATTTATTGGTCCATTTTTATCAAATTTGTTTGATAAAAATGTCAAGTTAATTTGCTAATACAACACAAAGTTTTTTTTTAAATACAAAAAAAATATTTAGTTGATTTAAATAAGAAATTTAATAAATTTTTTAAAAATATTTTTAGTTCAAGTTTTTCTGTTATACTTAAACTATATAAAGAGTAATTTTAATATTCCTTCTTTTAATTGTTTTAAGTAATTTTAATATTCCTTATTTTAATTGTAATAAGTAGTTTTAATTTTCCTTGTGTTAATTATTTTAACTAATTTAAATATTTCTTGTAACTTATAATCATTAAATACAGACAAAAGTTAAGAATTAGGTAAGAAATATGTTTAATACCCTAAAACAACTTTTAAAAACCCTTAAAAACGACTAAATTAAATGTTTTGTATCAGAGTTTCCTTTAATTCAAGTAATTTCTATTGTATCAGCCTTCATATTAGTTTAAGATTATGACCAAGATAATAATGTAATAATATTACAATAAGCAAATATTATTACTATGGTTTTGCAATATTAAAAGCAAATGGAAAAAATAAAAAATACTGATACTAGCTTTTATTATATAAGTGAATTAATTTATAATTACTTTATTTTGCATAATACTATTTATTTTTTGACTTTAACAGTTGGGTTTGTTTTACACAGGTTGTATGCCGACCGTATGACATCAAAGATGTTATAGAGCAATATACTTCAGGTCAGATTGAAATGTTTGGGTTTATTAGAAAGTTTCAGTCCAGGTTAGTTGTCAAAATGATTTTTATATATTTATGCAAGAATTTCGTTTAAAATTAAGTAATAATTTTTTTAATTTTTTTTTTTTTTAATATTTTAAATAGAATTGAAAATGCACTTGGAATTCAAGGTAATTATTTAGCATTCCAAAAGATTGATTGCTTTGTTAAATTTTCTTCTAATTTTTAAGTTAATTTATGAAATGAACTTTTATGTTACAGTATGTTACACTTGTTATTGAAATGTTACACTAATTATATGTTACACTTTTTATTGATAATTAACTGGAAATGAATTAAATTATATTGTTAATTATATTTAAAGGATATGAACAAAAAATAATAATTGATCACATTATCTAGCAAATAAATACCTGTAACCGGTATTATAACCGGATTAATAATAATAACAAGTATTATATCTGGATTAGTTGATTTATCTAGTTTAGTGGCTAAATTATGTATTAAAAAATTAAATTTATAAAAATTACAAAATCAATTTAACTGATTTTTGTCTAATTTAACTTTATAGCAGACAATACAATACAAACTATAATTATACCTGTTTAACAGTTTTTTATTGTTTTTTTGTCTAAGTTTTAAGAGAGATTAGCTGGAGTATTTATTTATGTTTTGTATCTACAATATACTTTTATTTGTTTATTATTAAAAATATATAAAAGTATATAGATGAGTTTCTGTGCAACGTTGCATCTTTTTGTAATCAACATGCTTGCACTTGTAGGCAGAAAACATTATAACTTTATAAGTATACATTTACAATTTTATGATATAAAAACACTTTTTTTACATTTTTTTATATTCTTAAATAAAATTTTGGCTTCTTTTATATAAACGATTGAAAGAATATTGATGAGTTACTTTTTTTGGGGGGTTTTGGTATTGATGAGTTACTTTTTTTTTGGGGACTGGGGTGATTGTGTATCTTTCTGATACACAATCACCTCAGTCAGAAAATTAAAACTAATTGTCCCAGGTTTTTATTATATACCAATAAGACATTTAATGGTATTGATATATCTATAACTAGACAGTTGCATAAAAAATTTAAACTAAATATGTTGACTTCAAAGTATGTTTAGATGAAAGAGGTTATTCAATGCTGCACATTGATACCAAATTTATGTTTCTAGTTCAATTAGAAGCAAAGTTATAGCAAATTGAGTAATCAAAATTAATAATGGACGTCTTAACAAAGAATATACTCTATAATCTTGTGGATTACATAAAATAAATTGGGAATGTAATCTAAATATTTACATAATAAACATTTGTTTTATATTTTATAATAACATGTTATATATTTTACTTATTTTTTAAACCGAAAATCCACTTTTTAAAACGTTTTTCTACTATATCATTTAGAAAAACGTTTTAAAAAGTGGGTCTTTATTTTCAAATTTTATTACTGCTACTTAATCTAATTTGATGAGATTATGTTTTTTATGTTATTGGATAAATGTTACAAAATTCTTTTTATATTTGAAAAAATTCTTTTACTGTGAATATAAGTATTGTGCTTAAGAAACTTACGTGTTTATTTCTCCTCTTTAAACCTTGAAAAGAACTATCAAATTTTTCTAAAAGCAGGTAACAAAAGTTGTCTGACTTTCTCAAAATAAATTAAAATTTTTTTATATAGGGTTGTTTCCACACTTCCCGTGAGTTTAACAAAAGTTATTTTAGTATTTTAGATTACTCAAAAAGTAGAAATGCATTGGAAATAAATTTTTGCAGCCATTAATGTAATACTATAAGGGTTAGTTTAAAACTAATCTCATTCTGAAATTTAAATAAATAATGTAATTATTTTGATCAAACTTTTAAAGCGCAGTTTTCCATACTTATCTTAGTGTTTCACACTTATCGTATATATTGTCGACACTTATCGTATATCTTAAAATCTGCTTTAGTTACTCGTTTCAAATGAGTTCGCATTTTCAAATGAAAATTTAATGGATTAGTAACATTTTATTAAACGCTTTCACGTGTATAAATAAAAAAAAGACAAAGAATTATGTAGTAATGAAAATATTATTATGAATTAAAACTAAAGATTTTAAAGAATTTCCATTACTTTATTACATATCCTTTAAGTTCTTAAACTGGCAAGGATTGAGTTTCATCGTAACTATCTGAGTCTTATTTTATAATTATTATTAGCATTTAAATGGAACTCGTTTTCTGACTCAGCTTTAAGGCTTTCTTTTTCTTTTGCAACTGTTTTTTTCTTTTTCCAAAATTTCATATTTTCTCTTTCTTTTTTAGTTTTTTCATTAAATAACTTTTTCTCCATGGCCAATTTTTTCTTTCTTAATCTTTCTTTCTTTATTTTTGACTTTTTATTTGCAGCTAGTTGTTTTTTTCTTAATCTTTCATCTTTAACTTGTGACTTTTCTTGCACTTTTGTCTTCTGAATTTGCTGCCACGTTTCAGACCATTGAACATTTACAACCATTGGTAAACGTTCTACTTTGCGCTTGACTATTTAGACTGGTTGTTTTGGCCATTTAAAAAACTTTCAATTGGATTTATGATTTTTGCTGCTATTTTTAAACTGAAATAAACTGGTTTTGGTTCTTTTACCCCTGCATTATTTTAATCAGGCATTTCCTTTTCGGTTTTAACTTGCACATTTTCTAAATTACAAGTTGTTGATAAATATTTATTACTCTTTTGTATTTCATTAGATAAATTATGGTCTTATATGTTTCAGATGAGGCTCTTTTCCAAAAATGATACAACTGAAGGTATTCAAGATCACCTTTCCAACCTAAATGTTTGTCAGCCATTTTAAACTGCACTAAAATACTTAAATAAATGCACTTTTTAACAAAAGTTTTGGGAGATGAAGCTGATAAAGTCACTCTTGAATAGTTTTTTTCTAAATAAGGAGCCGGTGTAATAGTTGACTCAGATAACTTTTGAAGAATTTTTTTGTAGCCAACACTATTAGCATCAAATGGAAAAATTCTGGTATATTTTTAAAACCACTTTTGATATTATTTACCATAGAAAGATCGATTAAAAAAAAATTTAATACTTCTCGTACATTATCATTGTTTATTTCGTGTCCTTCATGGTCAATGCGCCATTGTCGGCAAAAAGATTCCCACTTTGCTTTCATTAGCCCAAAACTGCCACATCAAGCGGCTGCAAAATATGTGTTGCATTTGGGAACAAAGCAACAAGAATTATTCCATTTTTAGAGCAAAACTCACGAAGTTTAATAGAAAAATGTGACAGATGACCATCAAAAAAAATAATAACTGGTAAAGGAATTTCTTTTTTTATTAAAAATGGATGAAAAACGTTTGTAATATACTCAAAAAAACATTCTGCAGCCATCCAACCATTTTTGCTTTTTTTAATACTCCATCCTGATGGAGCAGCATTTATAATTCTATTAGGAAAACGAATATATTTAAAAATTGTTAATGGTGAAGAAAAAGTTCCGCTGGCATTTACTGCAAATAAAGTAGTGATGCTTTTTTTATTATTCTGGTTCATGTTAATAACCACTTGACTAACTTGCTTTCAATGTGTTCACCTAGTACCGATTCATACCCGCAGTGTTGTATCTTCAAAAAAGTTCTTTCAAATATTTAATCACAAAGCGTGTGATAAGGAATTCCAAAAGTTTTGCTCGCTTTGTATACAACCATACCTTTTTTAACAGCATTAATAGCATCACATAATTGACTATCTGTATATTTAAATCTTCGTTTTGAGCTACAAAGTTTTTGTTTATATTTTTGTCTTGCCATTGTAAAAGAATCTAAGTAAAATAATATTTATTTTTATAGAAAAAAAGAAACAAATTAATTATTCATTGAACATACGATATGAATGGAATGATATTTTTTTTACTTCATACTTATCGTACATTCAAAAATACTACATTGATACTATAATAAAGATTGGTTTTAAAAATATTAATAATGATTCATATTTTATTTAAGTGATTAAGTCAATTTAGAAATAAAATTTTATGTTATCTTCTTAAATTTTGTTGTTTTATTTGAAACGTTCCTAACAGCTGCTACTTAAAAAAAAAAATTTTCATATGTTGACGTAATAAACCTTTTGAGTTCATAAAAGTAACTATGTATTACGGTTTCCATGTATTGTAATAGAAATGCATGACGATGTTGTTGACACTCAAAATATAAAAATGAAATTAAAATAACTACTTTTTGCAAAATTTATGTTACTATTTAAAACCTACGATAAATGTCGACTCACGGTAGGTGTGGAAACGACCCTAGTCAGTCATCTAAATACTTATTTTAATGTATTTTTACAGCATCCTAAGTGCAAGCCACAAAAAATGCATCCAACTTTTTATGGCGACCAAATTTAGCCTGTTATCCAATATGGCTGCCGCGTGAGACTGCCTATCTATAACTAAACCAAGTTTGTTATTGTAATGTTAAAATCATTTATTAAATAGTGCTTTAAAAGCACAAATAAAGATGTTCCAACAACAAGCATGAGTTAAGATAGTTTTAACTTTTTTTAAGAGCTATATTGCCATTTAAAATGTAAGAAAATTCTTTTATTCATATGATGTTAGATTTTGGTATGAATGTTTACTTTGTTCAAGTCAAGCTAAAGCTTAGTATTTTGTTTAAATTTAATACTGTATTAATGGAAGTTAAAAAGTTCAAAATTTTGATTTGTAAATATTGTGTTGAAAATATTTAGAAACAGTAGACTTATTATTAGGCATTTTGGTGTCATATTTTTTTTCTTAGTATAGTTATCAAGCTCTATATTGTAGATGAAAATATTAATAAGGATCCTCGTTTACATACTTTAATCAAGTTTGTTATCGAGAAGTTAAAATTTTTTATTTTATTGTGCTTTATAAGCACAAAATAAAGATGATCCTCCAACTACAATTGAGAGTGAAGTAAATTTTTAATCTTTTGAAAGGCTACATTACCATTTAAGATCTGTAAAAAAGTTCTTTTGTTCATCTGATGTTAGATTTTGGTATAAAATATGTCTACTTTGTTTAAATCAAACTTATTTTTCAAGATCAATATTTTGTTTAAGTTTAGTGCTGTATTAATTGAAAGTAAAAAGTTTAAAATTCTGCCTTATGAATACTTTGTTGAAAATATATAGAAATGGTAGACTTATTATTAGGCAGTTTGTTGTCATAATTTATTTTCTCAGTATAGTTATCAAGCTCTATATTGTAGATGATAATATTAATAAGGATCCTTGTTTATATACTTTAACTTTTTTTCTTCTCTTTTTTGAACCAAACTAGAAATCAGAACAATCTCAATGTTATGAAAAACTATAGATTGCTTTAATCCAGTTTCTTTGACTTCTTTCTTTTAAAGTTAGTTTTCCTGAAGAAACTTTGTAAAATTTTATATCAATGTCAGTTTTGACATCTTTTTGAGTAACTAATGATGCATCAATTAAAAAATCAATAAGTAAATAAATTTTCTAACAAAACATACAAACCCTTTATAATATTTTTTTCTTTATAAAATTTCCAATTTTTTTTTTTTCTGCCTACAAGTATGCACACATGTTTTTTTCGAAACGAGAATGTAAAAATTCGCAACTCATCTATATTAATAAGTCATATCTTATTGTTGAGGCTGGGGCTAATTTATATCTTGTACTGCTGGATCTTATCATCACATAAGTAACAAATAAAATAATATAAACTGAAAAAACAAAAATATAGGAATTTTAAATAAAACTTTTTAAAAAAATATTAGGGAACTTATGGAAATCAAATAATTTTAATAGCTGATTTTTTAATTTTTTTGTAATGTCTAAAGAAGTGATATTAGCATGTTTATGATTTATACTTTTAAGGACACGTGGTATACATGTAATGTTTAACATATTGCTTATAAATTGTATAAATATATGAAGTACAAAAAAGTTATAAAATCAGCTATAAAAATTATTTGATTTCCACAAGTTCCCTAATATTTTTTTAAAAAGTTTTATTTAAAATTCCTATATTTTTTTTTTTCAGTTTGTATTATTTTATTTGTTAGTTTTTATAGTTTATTTTTAATATTTGTTTATATTACTTTTTATTTATAATAGTTTTTTTTTATTTAATGCTGTTTTGCTTATTTTGTTTTTTTATTTTTTTTAACTCTTAACAACTTTCTTGCAAAAAAAAGTAAGAAACCATAAAATAAAAATATTGAAAAATATTAAAGGAATAAAATAAAAGGTTTAGAAATGTTTCAAAATTAAATTTATAAAACTATTTATAACAATGTTATTATTATTTAATAACACCCAAATTAAGTTGAACAATAAATCAAACACTGGTCCCTTAATTGATTACTAAAATTCCTTGGTTAACTCAAACCTCGAATAACTCGAACGATAAGTCAATCCATTTTTTTGTCTCCATTCAGCAAATTTTTTCGGATAACTCAAACTTTTCATATGGAAATAAAAAAATCAAAATAAATCATACCAACATATAACTTTATGCTTTGAAATATATTTCATGCTTTTATTAATATAATGATGTATATATAATGTTTATACTTTAGCATTGAATAAATAAAAATTGTCTTAACTTGAACTAATATTTTATTTTAGCCAAAGCTTGACTTAACGGCATTTTGCTTTAGTCAAACCGTTTCCGTTGGTCCCTTGGAGGTTCAAATAATTGAGAATTAACTTGGTAATTCAAACCTGCAAGGTTTCGAATTAACGAGTTATTTCTTTTTTCTTTTTTTTCAATCGTATATTGTATAAAATTTTTTTTCAATCGTATATTATTTTAGACGGCAGGCTAATGATACCATCACTTGATGTTCGCATGGATATTTTTGAAAAAAAGGTTTTACTTTTATATATCATTTTTTTATAATTTTTTTTACTGATAAGTTATGTAGGAGAAAGATGTGTTGATTGTTATCAAGTAGGAGAAAGATATGTTGATTTTTTTATCAAGTAGGAGAAATGTGTGTTGATTGTTGTCAAGTAGGAGAAAGATGTGTTGATTGTTGTCAAGTAGAAGAAAGATGTGTTGATTGTTGTCAAGTAGGGGAAAGTTGTATTGATTTTTATTAAGTAGGGGAAAGGTGTGTTGATTGCTATCAAGTAAGGAGTTACATTGACATTAAGTGTAAGTAGGGAGTTACAATGATATTAGGTGCAAGAAGGCAGTTACGTGATGTTAGATACAAGTAGCGAGTTACGATGACATAAGGTGCAAGAAGAGAATTACAATAATGGAATATTTATTTTATGACCTCTATTAAATACATTGATGAGTATTTTTTTTATTGTTAGTTTAAGTTATTGGCAAATATTCTGGGATAAATCATCTAACGGTTATAAAACACACAGTAGGGTAGGGTTGTTAGTAATCGATGGTTATAACAGACATAATATGTAAAGGATCGTCCATAAAGTACGTACGCTCAGATATTCCTATTTGAGAGGGAAGTCTGCAAATGGCGTATATGAAATTGGGGGCAGGGAGTCAATTGTAAAAATAAGGAAACATTAAATTAAAAAAATATAATTAAATGTTGAGTAGGTAGCTTAAAAGTGTAGGTACTTTAAGGGAGGTGGAGGGTACTCAAAATAGAGTAGAGCAAAATGCGGGGGAATGGGTCAAAATAAAAGCGTACGTACTTTATGGACGACCCTTATAGAGTTATTTGAAACAGGGAGTTATAACAGAAAACAGTTATTTTTTAGTTTTTGATTATTACTATTTTATGTAAATATATTTAATATTTTTCATTTACAACTTTAATACTTATTACAAGTTACTTGTGTGATTTGTAGATTGAGATCACATAAATGTGAAAATAGTTGTTTTTAAATTTTTTTTTAGATTGACACATTGAGTGTTAAATTGGATAATGTTATGGAATTATTAAATTCAAATAGCCAGTTAACTTAAGTAAAACCATTAGAAAAAAAATCCTCAAAACCGCTCGACAAAAAAAAGACGTCTATTGCGATGACAAATGATTCAGCATCTTGAAAAGCATTAACCTATCTCGTCTCTAGCTGCTCGGTAATCAGCAGTCATATCATGCAAGAATATTTATATTTTTAGAGCCAATTTGAACAAGAAAATAATCCAAGATTTATTATCGCGTTTAGTTGACTAATTGGTGTTTATTAAAGCGTCATTCTTTTGTTATTGATTACTATGTCTTATAAGGCTTTTAAATTTCGTAAAATTATAATGATCATGGTGTAAGAAACAACAAGAACTTTTTTGTTTTTTTGTATTTTTACATTTTGTATTTATGCTATACTAATGATTAACTTTAAAAAACTTAACATGAATAATTAGGATAACTTGCACTTAATTAAAGCCTTTTTTATATTTAGCAAATTAACATCATAAAAAAATATTTTTCATTATTATTGCAGAGGTTCTGATTTTATCACTTGATTTTTCATGTTTTTCTTACAATTTATGTCATGCCTGATATATAAAAAAAAATATTTTTTAGAAAATGTAGATAGTTTTGATAAGTTTATATATTTTTTATGACTATTTATTACTTGATTGATATTTATACATTTCTTATATTTACATAGTTTTACATTACATATTTGAATAGTGATTACTATAGCTTTTTTTGTAAAACCCTAGAAGTTTCACTGTAATAGATTATTATAAATTACATAAAATTTTATCTCTTAGTTTATAAAGTTGTTATTCTGGGGTACCCCTTAGCATTTCAGCAGTGGCGGAACTTCAAAATTTGGGCCTCCCCTCCCCCGCAAAAGAATGTTTTTTTTGCGAAAAAGAGTTCTATAGTATAAATATTATTGAGAGTATAACTTTTTTTATATGAGGGCCCCCTATAGCTGGTAGGCCCCCCCCCCCCGCAACGCAGGGTCCTGCGTCCAGTAGTTCCGCCACTGCATTTCAGAGTAGTGGTATGTAACTGAATTGAAGTTTCTTGAAAAAAAGATTTCTTGAGTCTTTACCTTTTTAGATTGCAGCTAAAATTATAAAAAATAGATTAACGATTTTTTTATTTTATTTTATCTCAGTTGTTAAAGCAATAATTCTTAAATATTTCCATGCACCATTAAGTGATCTCTCTCTATTTTACTATGAATATATTTAAAAATGTTTCTTGGCAACATTTATAACAGGTAGAGCTGTCCCGAAGAGATCTTTAAGGAGGGGAGGGAAGCCACGTATCTGTTTTTTGCCAACTAACAACTAAAAAACGACGTTAAAATAAAAAGGTTTTCGTTTTCCGAAATTTGCCGGCTGACAACTGAAGATCTCAAGTTGCCGATACTACAGGTTCAAATTTGTAAACTAATTTTCTGAATAATATTTCTGTAGGGGGGTTAGACACAGCGCGCAATCCCCTCCTCCTCTTCCCTTTGCTTTAAAAACGGATATTTCGGACCACTTTCCTATTTTTCTAACTATAAACACCGACCAACTGCCTAAACAAAAATTAAAAAAAATTGTAAAAAAACGTTTTTATACATCATCAAACATTGAGGCCTTTAAAAATCAGCTCTCATTATTACATTGGAAACACTTAAATTTTAATGAAAATGCAAACAACCTTTATGAAAAATTCTATGAAACTTTTATCTCTGTTTACGAGTCTAATTTTCCAATTGTTACAATTACATTAAAAACAAAACACTTTGATAATCCCTGGATTACCAAGGGGTTCAAAAAATCATCCAAAACTAAACAAAGGCTATACATAAAATATCTAAAAACAAAAACACCAGATAGCGAAAAAATTTACAAAGATTACAAAAATCTATTCGAAAAAATCCGAAAAAAATTAAAAAAAAATTACTATTCAAAATTAATTAATAAAGCTAAAAATGACTCAAAACGCACTTGGCAAATATTAAAAGAAATTACAGGAAAACAAAAAACATGCTCAAGCTCTTTGCCACAAATGCTTAGTTGATAACAATAGCTTGCATGAGCCACAAATAATAGCTCATGAATTCAATAAATATTTTACTGAAATTGGATCAATCTTATCAAGTAAAATACAAAAAACTCAGACCTCATTTTATGATTTTTTGTTACCTTTTGATAAAAATATTTCCTCTGAAGAATTATCTGCTGAACTATCATTTGATGAGTTTGAGAAAGCTTTTAAATCTTTAAAAAAGAATAAAGCACCTGGCGCAGATGAAATAAACGGGAATATTGTTATAGATTGCTATGAACAATTAAAAAATATTCTTTTCAAAATTTTCAGAGCATCTATTCATCAAGGTATTTTTCCTGAACGTTTAAAACTTGCCAGAGTTACCCCTCTCCATAAAGAAGGCGACAGATCCAATATCAATAATTATCGCCCTATCTCTGTTCTTTCTATATTTTCTAAAATTTTAGAAAGAATTATTTTCAATAGAGTATACAATTATTTTAATTACAACAATTTATTATATAACAATCAGTATGGTTTCAGAAAAGGGAGCTCAACTGAACATGCCATCATTCAATTTATACATAACATCTCTAAATCTTTTGAAAAATCTCAATACACACTAGGTGTCTTTATTGACCTATCAAAAGCTTTTGATACGGTCGATCACCACATCTTAATCCAAAAAATTAAATATTATGGTTTAAACAATAAAATTTTAAAATGGTTTGAAAGCTATTTAACAAATCGAAAGCAACTTGTGTATAGTAATGATGGTTATCAAAGTGAACCCCTGAGCATAACTTGTGGTGTTCCACAAGGCTCTATTCTCGGACCACTACTATTTTTAATCTATGTAAACGATTTAAACAAAGCTTCCAAATTGAAAAGTATAATGTTCGCTGATGATACTAATCTTTTCTTATCCCATACTGATATTTATGAACTCTTTTCAACTACAAACAAAGAACTCAAACACATTTCGAACTGGTTCAAAGCTAATAAATTAACTTAAAATATTAACAAAACAAAATGGATTATTTTTCACTCCTGCGCAAAAAAACGATTTTTAACAAATAATATGCCTCAAATTTACATTGATGAAACTATAATAAAAAGAGATACTGTTATAAAATTCTTAGGTGTTTATCTTGATGAAAATATTACTTGGAGAAAGCATATTGATCATATAAGCACCAAAGTTTCTAAAAATATTGGCATTTTATACAAAGCTCGAAATTATCTAAACAAAAAAACTTAACCCAGCTCTATTATATATTATACATAATTATATAAATTATGCAATCATAGCCTGGGGAAGTACGGAGAAAAGTAAATTACAACATCTTTATCGCCGTCAGAAACATGCAATCCGTGTAGTTAATTATGCGGATCGCTTTTCACATTCGAAATATTTTTTTAATTATATGAATGTACTAGATGTTTATAAACTTAACATATTTAATGTTTTATGTTTTACTTTTATGTGGAAAAACGATTTATCTTTATTTGTTTTCAATGACCTTTTTTCTTTAAAACCAATAAATAAATACACATTAAGAAGTAATAGTTTTCTAAATGAACCATTTTGTAAAACGAAGTTCAACCAATTCTGTATTGCATATCGTGCACCCCATCTTTGGAATAAAATAGTATTACCAAATTTTGACCCTTCTACTACTCTTCCTGTTTTTAAAACTAAATTAAAAAACTTCATTCTCTGTATGGACAACATTCTAAAATTCTACTAAAAATTTATGTAAAATGTATTTTTCAAATCTTCAGCATATTGAGTATTAAAATGTTAGTATATTGTATATTTGCATTATGTTGTATTGTATTAGTATATTTCATATTTGCATTATGTTAAACCTTTGCATTATGTCTTTTTTAAGGTTCCGGTGATAAGATCCTTCTGATCTTCTTTCGGAAACCTAGTCTTATATTGTTAGTACGCTGAATTGTATATACATATATATATATATATATATATACTCATTTTTTTTTCTTTTCTTGTAGAAGTCTTAAATATTTTTATGTATCAGACTTATATTATTATATATCACGACTTATATTATTATATATGTATCAGACTTATATTATTATATATCACGACTTATATTATTTTGTATCACGACTAACATTGTAAACTAAAAAAAAAAAAAAAAAAAAAAAAAAAAAAAAAAAAAAATAAAAAGAACTCTTTTGATTTTAAACATTTTCTATACTTATTTATCTTCAAAAAAATGTCTTTGAAAATGATCTTGTAATTTTTGGTGACTTCTTTACTTTTCTTAAAACCTTCTAGAAGGTCTAATTTAAAATTATCACTCAATATATTAACAGAGTAATTAAATTTCAGTTTGAAAAACGGAAATTATAAAATCTAAATTCAGTTTTAATAACTTTGGCATCTGTTAAACAAAACTTTGATTGTAGTTCACAAATTTTTTCTCAAAAATTGGTTGTAGTTCCCAAAATAAAGAAATTTCAGTATGCTCTAGACTAGCAATATGTCCTCAGAACTGCATTCTTTTTGTTATAAAGAAACCCTGAATTGTTATCTGAATTGTTATGTAGGATATGACGGTGTCATTTCATGACAAGCACATCTGGTTTTCTAGTTAATATATAACTAATTTTTCTATTTTCAAATTGGACACTGGAGTCGGCAAAATTGGTTTATAGTTGGCAGTCAGCAAATATCGGAAAACGACTTTCTTTGAAGCTAGTGGACAAAAAAAAATTTTTTGGTTTTAATTGTCAAATTTCAAATGTCAAATGTCATGTCAAATTTCAAATGTCAAATGTCAAATGTCAAATGTCAAATGTTCAAATGTCAAATGTTCAAATGTCAGGTCAGGTTTTCCTGCTACTGGTAACATGTAACCCAGTACAACCTGCTCCATGTCCTGCTGCCTTGTAGGATACGCTTTTTTAGGCAAAGGCTAGGAGAAGTTAACTCCGAATTAAAACACCCCCTGCCTTGGGGCTCTTGGTTGAGTAAAGGCTAGAGATGGTGTCTCGATAAAAATACTCATCTTGGGCAGATGTTACATGCATCCAGCTGCTGTCTTGTAGAAGGCCTCCTAGGCAAAGACTTAAGGGGTAAACAGATTCTATCTGTTGACCAGCCTCGCACCCCTTCCTCATCTATTAGGCTGGCGCAGATGTATTTTTAATACATTGTTTCCAGTTTAGGATGTTGAACGCTGGATCTTCTTGACTCAATGCGTGGGTATTGCTTGTGTCTCTATTTTTATGACTGGGCAACTCATTCTATTATCTCCTAATGAGGGTACAGCTCTAAAACTCAGTTTTATGGTTCTGAGGCCGGCTGGTAGTCAGGTTTCCCGAACTCTGTGGTAGCTCTCAGAGAGGCTGATTCCATCAACAGCCGAAAAATATCAGAGTACTAACAGTGCCATGTTGCGCATGGATGGTGTCCCTGTTTGTACTTTTGGTGTGCATTGCAGAGGCCACATTTGGAGCCCTTTGTTACGGCTTAGGGTTTATTAATAGTAATGAGGCTATTGCTTAGTTGTTAAATAGTGTACTGAGTACTATCTATACTTGAGTCAAGTTCTTTATAAATTTAAAATGACTAAAGTACCTAAAACTAAAAAACACAAAAAACCATCGTCATCACCAAGTTCTCTCAATCTATCATTTACTAATATTCGTGGTCTTCGAAGTAACTTTTCTTCTGTTGAGTCTTATCTCTTGCAAATTTCACCAGACCTACTTGCTCTTTG